ACCTTCATAATATTGGGATAAATTATTCAAATTAGTCTTATCCTATTATCTTAGTTTAATTCCTCTAAAAACTGCATTTGTCTAAAAGGGCCTGGATTTTTTTTTAATCTAAACTTAGTTTCGAGGATAAAAAGAATTCATGGAATTACACTGAATATTGACAATTTTTGTCATTCCTTTAAAATGAATTATCGCTGCAAAAAAATTATCATTCTATTAAAAGTTAATCAAAATAGGTGCCTTGCGCTGGCCCTGTCACTTCCACATCTTATGTATACTGCAGAGTACGAGATATCGGCAAGACCAAGATCAAGACTGAGACTTGAAATATTTGAGTAAGATCAAAACCAAGACTGTCCCGTCAGTATTAGTCTTGCTGATTCAGTCTTGGTCATAATCTTAATCTTGTTGATATAGTCTCGATCTTGGTCTTACTTATATCATCTCGATCTTGGTCTTGATCTTACGTGTTAAGTCTTGGTCTCGCTCATTAATCTGATACTTACCTTTTTTTAATAATTCCTGCAAACACAAATTTTTCTATTTACCGATACAATAATTGTGTTAATTGTTCTGTCTGGTCTTGGTCTTGCTAGTATAAAGACAGTCTTGACGTGACTGCATGATTAAGACCAATTTTGGTCAACACTACCTATGTATGACTAATATTGACCCTGTGGTGGTCACTAATGAAATGAAGAACTTGAATGATAGAATACATTTTAAGAGAAGCAAGTTGGAAACACATTAGAAGCAGAGACAGGAATAAAATTGGGCAGAAGAAGACCTAAATTAGATAGATTATTAATTTTAGATAGTGAAGAATATGGAAAATACGGAAAATTGACTTAGGGCGAGAATGAGACGAGGTGAATGTGATATATGTATATACAAATAAAACGAGTAGAAACAATTAAACGTGTTTTTTTATATCTCTATCACATGAACAACAATGACAAAGCAGCGTGCACAGATCACAACATACAGCTCATTTTTTTTTTTCAAGAAATTAACAGTACATCACCAAATTCAATAAGTAACTTTTGTAATTATTTTACGTAGGTATGTATAGAAAATACTTAATTAATATGTATGTATAATGTATATATAGGTAGGTACTATATGAACAAGTATCCTGTGGAAAATTTTACAACTTATACTTTCAATGTACAGTACAGTTTTATTTTAAAAGATAATGCTTTCAAAAATATTTTTGCTGTAAGATAAGAATAATACTTTTAGTTATGTCATTAAATATTATCGAAATTCAACCACTCAGTTTATCAACAGTAAAAGGAGAGCACGTGAATAGAGACTATTTTCATTTACACCCTGTATAAAATTAGTTTTGAATTATTAGTAAATATCAAGATTGAGATTATTTGACGGGTCGTGAGGTTTTTTTAGGGCGCATATGGACTGAGCGAGCGAATATTTATTCTACCAAAGTTATGCCGCATTCAACATTCCATTGTTCGCTTATAGTATGACCCTGGTACTAATTTGGTCGATTGTCATCTACGCTGAACAAACGCGAATCGCAATTTTTATTCGCTCAGTCTGAACGCTACCTTATAGATAAATACAGATGTTGTAATTACACCTGCAGGGCAAATATCTCATTCTTTGAATAATAAATTAATTCAAATCCATCGTGTATCCACAGAGAGTATACAGGGTGTTTTGGAATAATGTTCCTTTATAATTTATTATATTATTTTCAATTCAATATCAATTCCTTGTTAAATAGCTAAGGTTTTCACAATTTTGTAATAATTAAATAATGTTTGTGAATAACTTTATACATTCATTTTTCGGTCCAATCATTAATTTTATCCTTACTTTAATATGTTAAAGAAGTTCTTAGATTATATTACCAATATTTATAAAATACGAACATGCTGCACTTAATGTTAAGACACCCTGTACATGAAAATAGGTAGTAAAAAAACAACAAATGTAAAGTATTGGTAATTGATTGCAGTATATCGTATCTCGCAAGTGAAGCTTTTTGATCTACTTTTAAGTATGGATTATGAATGGAAAAAATACGTGTATTTTTTACATAGTTAATCTTATATATATATATATGTATAATGGCTAAAGTGATTTTATAAACGAACATGGCATTATTGATAGCGTAAACGACTATTTTATTACGTAAATACAATATTTTTGCTTAACCCTACAACAAGGCAGTAAGTACAAACGTAGTAACCAATAACTATTAGTTATTGATGAGTTTAATGCGTAATGATACGCATTAATTTTGGCATCAAATAAAACCATATCTGTAATCATTAATCCCAATTATATACATAAAAAAACATTGTTGATTGATTGAACAGTTGAACTTAACAATCACTGCATAGGTTATTTTTGAAAATTTGGATGATTCTTTATTGACTTACTTTTCATTATCATGCAGAATCAACAAAAAATTCCAACAATTCTACAAAAAATGTAATATGTATTAACGAAACAAGATATTTGTTTTGTTCTTTCTCTTTCGTGAAATAACAGTGGAATTTTGACCTTTTCTTTTTAAATTAGTTATGTATGTAGGGAATGAATATTCGAATTCTATTTTCACTTTGTAATTCATTTGAAAACGAATAACCGACCTTCATAATATTGGGATAAATTATTCAAATTAGTCTTATCCTATTATCTTAGTTTAATTCCTCTAAAAACTGCATTTGTCTAAAAGGGCCTGGATTTTTTTTTAATCTAAACTTAGTTTCGAGGATAAAAAGAATTCATGGAATTACACTGAATATTGACAATTTTTGTCATTCCTTTAAAATGAATTATCGCTGCAAAAAAATTATCATTCTATTAAAAGTTAATCAAAATAGGTGCCTTGCGCTGGCCCNATGTACAATGGTTTTAGTTGATGCCAGCTCTCTAAAAATAAATCAGTGAATTTTCACTAGTTTTCAGTGAATATTTACTAATCTTAACAGGGACAATTGTACCACTGCATATTAATAAATATTAAGTGAACTATTTTGCAAATTGAAAATACTAATTAATTCAGTGAAATTAGTCGAAAATAAATAAACATAAATTCAGAAAAAAAAAGCATACAATTGGCCTGGAGTGGAACCTCCACGCGGAGAAATTGGTAAAAACTTTCGCGGTCAGTTGGTGAACTGATGTCCTGATTCAAGTCTAAAGGTCATCATCAATTGGAGTTGCTTCCTAACGCTTCCCTAACACCAGTAGCGAACCACTTCAGAGGGAGGTCCTTCCATCTCTGATGCTGGATGTAGTAGCGAAACGTTAGGAATCAACTTCAACCGACGACAACCACCTTTAACCTGAATCAGGACTGCATCAGTACGGAACCCATTGACTTTTTATTTCACTGGTAAGATAAATCAATTTTTCACTGATTTACGTTTAGAGAGTATGGAGAATTGGTGGATGATGATTTACAACACAATCTTCCATCATATAATGACTGTCCTGGTACATTCAACTATATTTAAAAGCACTTACGAAACAAGAGCGAAACGCTGATTGCAGGATAGAGGTTTTCAAGGACGGGATGTTGCTGTTCACCTTTTGTTTATTTTATTATTTTTTTGTATAAAAATGATAGGTAACTTACTCAGAAAAATGTGCAGACGTAGGTAGGAACAAGTATTTTCAACATATTTACCGTTTTGTTTTTCAAATCCACTTTGTAAGATTGCAATAAATCATAAAATTCTAGATAATACATAAATTCGTTAATATAACTACGTCTTATTATAATTACTATGTGTAAATATTGATAAACAACTCTGGGTGTGCAGTGCGGGTGTAGGATTAGCTACTTATTATTTAAAAACATCTACCCATAATTAAGAACATGTTATTATTGCAAACGACAAATTTATATATTTTTTTAATTTATTATCAGTCTCTATAACAGCAAGG